TATTTCTCATTATAAATCACAGTATCACAGCTGGTTTCATCTGCCTCCCAAATCTCTCTTAATGAGGAAGTCCCTTGTTTAATTTCTGCTAGTGTGAGTTTGCTTTCCCTCATTCGCAACCGCAAGAACATTGTCGAATGTCAACAGGGACATGAGTGGCTGGTACATCACCCTCGTGCGAGGGTTTGGATGGTGAGACTGAGGTGGTAGGCAGGGAGGGGCTGTTACAGCAGTGCGTCTTAGAAGTGGGGTGGGGACAGGTGGGACAGGTCCAGGAGATTCTTAGCTAATGATGAGTCTTTCTGTAAGTATTTATTTATTCTACCCTACAGCAAACACAAGGTTTCTGGCTCAAAGGCAGACCAATATTTGCTTACAAAGTATCTTTACATTATCTCCTTGTCCTTACTTTGCCCCTTGTAAATGCAAGGGCATGCAATGAAGGCAGATATTACTTTGCACATGTAGCAGGCATTCTTGCTACAAGAGGAACCCCTAAATTATGAATTTGGGAGCTAATGGAGGTGCTACTACACAGCTGCCATCCTGCCATCCCGCCCTCCGGGGAGGGAGAGAAATCTTTACTGTCTGACAGAAATAAATCCTCTCTGGGAAGAGAAGGGGCCGGTCTCTCTGCATTACCATGCATGTAAATGAAGATAAATGAATGGCAAATGAATGCCTCCAGGGGAGATAAACCTTAAATCTCTCCGGAGTAATCTATCCAGTACTTTTGTCTCCCCAGAAATGACTCCCTTCCACTCATCCTTAATCCTAGGTTGCTTATCCTCATAAAAGAGGCTCCACAGGGCTCCCCTGCCCCTTCCACCAGTGAGGACGCCAGAAGTCCGCCACCTAGATGGCAGAGGGCTCTTGCCAGAACCCAAGCACCACGCTGGCACCCTGATCCTGGACTTCCGGCCTTCGGAGCTGTGAGAAATAAACGCTTGTTGTTTATACTTTTGTATTAGCACCCTCGAAGGGACTAAGACATCCACGTGGTCACTCACTGTCCCTGTGGGAGGTTCAGCTCAACACTTTCGGCTTCCATTTCCTCCTGTGTGAGATGATCAGGCTCTTTCCTGTTCTAAATTCTCAGGCGCTCTGGTTCCTGTGTGTCCTGCAGCGGGGTATACGCGGTCCTAAGGAATGATTAGCCACTTTACGGGAACCTCACTGCCAGCATTAAACAGGTTACTGTCACTGTAAAGAATCATGAAACAATTTCCCAGGTATGTTGGTGTGTATTTGTAGCCACAGCTTTGAAAATACAGTTTTCAGGAGATTTAAAAAAAAAAAAAAATAGGCTTGCAAATCTACTTCCCCTAAAGAACTCAGCCGGACCTCTCCCTGGTCTATTATGTCCTTCTCCATCACCCATCCCCTCTTCGTCCACGGAACTGTGACAAGCAGCACACCCACTTCAGCAGGTTCTGTGATATTCGGAGTGGTCGTCAAAGTCTCAGAACATAATTGCAACTCGCTTTAATTATGGTGTCAAAATAGCAAACAGGAAGTCGTGGAATTTCAAAACAGTTGAGAAATCCCCAAGCGTTTCTATCACTGCATACTCGTTTTTATCACTGCACACTCGTTTCTATCCCCTCATCCTCTACTTACGCAGGTCTGCAAAAGTCACATTTAAAAGAAGATGAACACAAGAGAGCCTGTGGAGTTATCATCCTTGTGGCAAGATTATTTTGAGCTTTTATGGTCTATTTCCTTTTTGGTTCTGGCCTCATTTTCTCGAGTGCCTTGTTTCCCTCTTTTAGCATTTATCTGTGTTAGTTTATACTAAATAAAATCCCCAAAGCAGAGGCTCTTTGTCATTTAAATGATGTTGTATATCTCCTGGCATGGCTTCGGGCATGCTCTTTCATAAATTTCTCCCAAGTCCTGCAGCCGGACCTGAACCCCGAGAAGGTAGGTGGTTCTACCCCCAGTGAACAATGCCTGCTGCCTTGCGCCCCGAGTTACAATAAAGCCTGGTGAGCAGCTTCGCCTCACCTCTGTTCTAATACAGGGTTTCCGGGTGAAGCTTCAAAAAGCAAGAAACCAATTTTGGAGTCAGGTAGACCTTTGTCCACACGCTGCTACCTTGGTTCTGGTGGTGTATCGGAACGGACTTACGAGAGATGACTTGAAAGATCAGGAATTTTGCAAGTCGGTTGTTAGAAAAAGCCATTATTAAAAATTAAATTTTACAGGCTTGCAATTATATTAAAAACAAAGGTAATAATTACTTAAAACTCATCAGCTTCAAATTCTTTACTATACTTGATTCTCATTATTCACGTTAGTTATATTCTTTAGAGTTGCCGTTAACTTTGATTTAGGGAATACAATGCTGAACCACTCACCGCCCCCAAGAGAAATACAGGATTATGTTCCTGCGAGCCTCAGGTCACGATATTTTCATCAACAGATCGATACATAACCTTATTTTATGTGTGTTTCTATTCAAAGACATCTTTTTAAATACATATTCTTGATACTGTTACACTGAACTCGCAGCCAACAGCACTGTAACTCATGCCTGAATAAAGTTTATTTAACACGTGGGTTCTCTCCACAAGGTGCAGTGCAGCCTTCTTGAGCTCAGGAACACTCGACAGCACTTCTGCACAATGCTTGGGGGCCCTTTTAAACTGCACAACCACTGACAAAAGCACGAAAATGCAGAAAATGTGGCAATAAATGGACTTCAAAAAAAGGGGCACTTGTTCCCAGTCCAAGAGCTGGAACAAGAAGACAGTGTTACCAGTTCAAGTTCAAATTTTTCGTTGCTTTGCCCATATCCATGAGTGACCGCAAAAACATGGCACGGACTGACTTTGGAGTTACAAATGAATTTTAGCAAGTAGGCAGATTCGCAAATATGAAATCCACACACGATATGCCCTTGAAGTTATTTACCTTTATCGTGCCCGTTTGATGGAAATATAACTGTTTGCTACAGTGCATCTCTTCCCAACTTTTGAGTGCAGTGACATCATTCTAGTCGCTTGAAAATGGACACATGAAAGTATGTACACCGCGGAAACTGGCAATGCCAATCAAATCGAGGATTGATTTGTCGACTCTCTCGATTTAAGCAAGTGTGATAGAGAAAATGTTAAAAATGCAGGTTAAACTTAAAACTGTCTAATGTCTAGACCCATACTATTGCAAATAGCAAAAAAAAAGTTGAGGAAATATTCTTCTAGTATTCAAAAACTATTACCTGACTCAGCAAAGGCACACCATGACTGATGAGTGGGTGACTGTCTCACGTGTATCTTCATTTTCAGTTTAATCTTAGTAAGTCATGTAAAAAGGTATCCATCAGTGTTTGTGTCAGAGCTACAACCTTGTGTCAACTGCCATAACAAAAATTGATGAAAGCCTTCCGTGAGAACAACTGTCGTATGGAATTTACAATTACGTATTCTATTAGGATTTGTCAGCTGTGTCCTACACATCCTTTATTAGGAACATTTATAACTTAAATGTCATTGCCAAATTCATTGCTAGAGGGCTAACTGTTTTAAGCAGCATAGTCTTGCTCTAGCGGAGTGGCCTCAATCTAGTTAAGTGTGAAACGAAGGAATAAATACACCTTCCTCACAAGGGTTGGAGAATCGAATGCATTATTGTTCCCATTATACCACTTCCAGGGGAGAGACTCAGCAAACCGTCAGTTCTCATCTCTTCACCTGGAGGATAGAGCAGGTTCCAGTCACCGCTGGGCACACAGGTCCTGTCTTCCCTGGATAGTTATGTGTCCAGATTGAAGTCTCCTCAAGTACCAGGCAGGTGAAAACTGACCACTAGGTGGCATAAGCAAGATGCCTTTGATGGCTTTAGTTCTTCAGACAATATAATTGATTCGGAACCCTGGGACAGACACATCAGTGTTGGCACCCTGAACAAAAACGTGAACCTCCGAGCCTCATTTCGGACAAATGTAAAGCGAATTAAGCTCCGTCTTTGGCAAAACCCATTTCCCTTCAGCAAAACTTGTCTTCCTGGACACACCGTGTCTTCCGCCCACGCTGCTGGCCACTTTACACCTTCCATACTCACCGCAGACCCAGGAATGCACAGCCTAATGCGGAGTCAGAAAAGCCCCTCACCCCCAATCTTCCTGCCAGATCTTCCATAATCAGCCCTGGTGTGTTATTCTGGAAACCGGTGCTTTGAAGGAGGTGACTGCACTGGCAGCAGGCTGAGGCAGAGCTGCAAAGAGCTGGGATCTCCCAGCATTCCGCAGTCACCAGGTCTGGCCCAGGGTACTCTCAGAGAGGCCACTTCCCTTTCCTTTGGAGGGTAGTTGACAAAGGGCCCCTCCCTAGGGTCTTAGTGAGGTCTGCAAGGATTTGTTACAGACTCCCAACGCATCTAGATGCCCCAACACTGGGGGTAGGGGCGGAGTGGGGGACTCTTTCAACCGGTTTCCCCTTCAAACAAAAACACTAAAACTTCAACTTCTTTTTTTTTTTTTTTTTGGTATTAAAATAATAAAAATCGGCCTGATTAGTTTTCTGCCTGCATGGAATTCATGAATAAAAATTTCGTCAGGAAGCTGTTACTGAAACCATGGCTAGCTTAATTGATTTCCACCAATCTCTTCTACGATCCGACATCTCCATTAACGCTTTTGACGAATAGTTTTGCACATCTGGGATAGCGCTGGTCATTTTTAAAATGAGGTGTCTCTGAAGCTGTTCCAAGGTGGACCAATACTGAACGTAAAACATCAGTTTCTTGTAAAGGGGAGACGTCTCTGCCAATTTTAGACACAACCCGACACGCCACAACGCAGCGTCACTTTGTGTTCTTGAATGGAATTAGACGTAAAGGCGGGTTTTAAAGTCTCTAACCACAGTGTAAATTCCTAGGTGTCTACATGGTGGGTGATCTTGGGATTTCAGTCCCACAAGGAAGGAACAGCAAATTCTTAATGACAACTTTGAAACACACAATGGCTCAGAATGAACACAAAAGACCACGAGACCGTATTTTGTTTATTTTTCTTCGGAGTTTATTTTGAATTTCCATTTTTGGATAACCAAGCAGCTCTTTAAGGAGAATGCACAGAAGAGTCATTCTGGCACTTTTGGATAGTACATAAGATTTTTTTTTTTTTTTAATAGTCACATTCAGTCCCCTTGCTCAGTCCACACTCCATGTTGGGAGAGCGAGATCAGCCCATAGGGTTCCAGAGTTAATATGTAACCATATATACAAACAGCCAATGAAACCATAATGGTGGCTAGTGGCCAAAGGGATGGATTTGGGGTGTGTGTGTGTGGGGGGGTGGATCTCTAAAGACTCCTCTATCTTAACTAAACAGAATCCACGTCACACAGGAGAACTTGAGAGTACACAGCGCTGGAACGAGAAATCTGCACACAAACGGGCACTTGGCAGCATGCAGTTTAAAGAAAAGGGGCATCGTTTGATAACTTTATAAAATCCAGGCAGTTCCATTACAGGAAGTTAAGAAAAACAAAGAGGAAAAGTGAGGGACTCTGTTGTCGTCACTGTAAAAAAGGCACTTGGAGTTAATGGGACCAGAACTGAAGGATTCTCGGCTGATGAAAAAGTTTCAGCACGATTTCATTAAAAGGCTTGGATGTTTAAGAGATGACACTCAAGAGTTTCTGAAAAGAGACACCGAAATTAACCATCGAGAAGCAGACCGGATGAAAATGAAGGAATAAAATCTTGACAACCAAAATGGGTTAAAAAAAAAAAAAAAAAAGCGGACCTGAAATGCAACCTTAACGAAGCAAAAATCTAAGCAAAGTAAGAGCACGAAGCAGAGATGCATAGCTTTCCTTTGAGGTAACGCATACCCCAAGACACTAGGTGCCAAGCTAATTTCTCAATCGTAACTTCACAGGAGCATTATCGTGATAAAATTGATTCAAGCAATGCAAAAAAGGAGTTTCATCTGTTCCCGCAATCTGAGGGAGAACCGAGGATGTCACCAGAACTTAGCAACGTCACTTGTGGGTTTTCGGTGTCCGGGGGCGGGGGACACGTCAAGCCCGTGAAAGGACACTGCATCCATTAGCATCAATTCTTCTGAGTCTTAGCTGTAATCCCGTTCTGACATTTACACAGCAAACGGTAATGCAGGAAATGTCCACTGCCCACTGGCGACTTCCTCCACAAACGGGTACGCGCTTCCGTTAAGTAAGAATTTTTGGCAATTTTGTTAGATTCCACGGTCGGGTGGCTCTGCGGCCACTCATTTAATGTTAAACGCCATCAGGGGCCTCTCCTCTCGCTTCTGCCAGGGGCTCTTCTTGTCCTCTCCTTGGTCATCGTCGTCATCATCGTCGTCGTCCTCGTGAGCAGATCTTCCCTGATCCGGGCTGGCTAAGGGCTCTGGGGGGGCGTCCACAGTCCGTTTGGTGGTCTCCTCCTGCAGGCTGGGCAGCTGGCCGCCGCTTCTGCGGCTGGAGCCGTCCAGCAAGCATCGCAGGGCACTGTCCTCGGGGGTGCAGACGGTGGTGCCACACTCACTGCCGCTCTGGTCCATGTCATCCAGATACACGAGCTGCGTGTAGGCGGTGCTGTCCGCCGCCCTCGGCTCCTTCTGCGGATGCTCCTGGACGGGTGGGTGGTTTTGCGGGAGAGACAAGGGGTCTCCTCTTCCCTTCCGGGCAGATTTTGGTTCATTCATATCCACGCCCGAGTCCAAACTGGCATCGTTACTTCCGTTCCTTCCGGCTCTTTGGAGATCGATGTAGGAATGTCTGACGTGCGCGTTGGACCTGCCGTCCAGGGAGACGAACCAGGCCCGGGGGTGGGGGAGCGGCTTCCCCCCGCCGAGCTCCATCAGAGCCTTTTCGGTCAGGAGCTGGACCTCGCTGTTCATCTGGGCCAAGGCTGCGTCGTTCAGGGACGCCGGGATGGACAGAGACTCCGACATGGCCGCGTTCTGGGGGCTCCACTCCCGGCTGCCCGCGTCCTGCAGGTGCTGCTGAGAAATGGCCTGGCATGATAACGGCTGAGCCTGGATCTGGGCGGACGGGTGCGGGAAGATGCCCGCGTGGGGACTGGAGAGCTCGGCCTGCAGTCTTTCGATTTCGAGCTGCTGGTCTGCCGGGACGACCAGGGGCTGGCCCACATAGGAGTGGTCCCCGGGGAGTTTCATATAATGAGCGGGGATGACCAGGGCGGGCAACACTTTTCTGTAAACGCTGTCATTGACCTGGTCAACGGAGCTACAGCAGATCAGCTGGCCGGGCCGTGGAAAAGACGTTGGTCTTTCCAGGTGGTCCACGGATCGCGACATCATACATTCAGTGGGTCTGCGGTCCAGCAGCTGTTCTTTTTCGGGAGAGGAAGGCGCGGGGTACATGTGTTCCTGAATGGTGAGCTTACTTCCTGTGGGAATATGGTTCACGGAAGCCTGACCGTCTCTGTCCTGCTTCTCGAATAAAGGCTGTGACAGCATGGCATTGTAACTCCTCCTGTAGTCACTGCCGCCAGGGGACTCATAGCCTTCTCTTTCCATCGATTTCCTGGACTTTAAGGGAAAAATCTCCACGGACTTGTGGTAATCTTTTCCCAACGTCCCGCTTGGGGTCAGGTTATCAAAGGAGATTTGGCTTTTGTCCTCCTCCTTATGAGAGAGGAGTTCCTCCCGAGAGCTGAATTCCTGGGAGGTGCTGTAGGAAAGCTTGAGCATGGGGGTGTGCGTGTCCACTTCCCCGTGGGAGGACATCATCTCCAGATGGACCCCGCTCATCAGCTCCTTTGTGCCCGGGGCGTCAGGGCGGCCGTGGCCGGTGACGGAGAGCGGGCCCGGGAACCCTGACTCCCGACGGGAAAACAGCAGGTTGATGTGTGACATAGACGTGGACTGGTCCCTTTTGGAATTCTCCAGGGCTGCAGGAAGCTGCAGTTTTCTATGGTGCTGACGAGGTTTCAAGCACTTCCGCCTACGATCAAAGAGACAGACAGTCCAAACCCAAAGATTAGAGATTCTCGTCAGGGTCAAGTTTCAAGTAAAATCGTAATTCGCAACTTCCACAGGAAGAAACAAGACGAGACCCCCGATCGGCAGCCAGAAGCCTGCTCACCCCACACACCCCTCAGCCTTATTTTGCTTCGGAGCGGCAGAATCCAAGGATTTCAGCCGTCGGCTCTTTTATAAGTACATCCGAGTGATTCATTCAAAAACAGTTACCCAAGAACCGACAATCAACACTCTCACAAAGCAAATAGAAGAGGCATCGCAATAAGAATAGCTCTGCTTTGTCCTTGAGCATCTCTCTTAATCCGTGTTTAGGATATTCTGAACGAATCCCAAAACAACTGCCAGACTTTTTTTTTTAAAAAAATAATTCCCATTCTAAGCGACGTTATACACAGCACGCCGCACGTGTCCCGTTCATTCGTTTGCAAGTTAAGACGACTAATGTTCCGTTCTTAGACGTTTCCTCATGAGAAAAAGAGAACCTCGATTCAGAAAAAGAAAAAAAAAAAAAAAAAAAAAGAAAAAAGAAAAGACCTCCAGATCAACGCTTGCCCAAGACATTCCAAACGAGAAAAGATAGTGCCAACAGAGTACAACATTACCTGCAATAATATAAAAGCAGACACAGCAAAACCAAAAGGATGAAAGCCATTCCTCCCAAAATGGCCAAAAGAAACACCGTGTGATACGTGGTCATGTCCTGCGTGACGACGGGACCTGGAAGGTCAAAAACAGGTATTTTAGATTTGTGAAAACCTTGAACTATCAAGAGGGATGACGAACGAGAATGTGATTTTTTTTTTTTTTTCCTCTTCCTGGCTGGGGACCTGGAGCAGAGGCCAGATGCAAATACCCTTCAGATGGTCACCCTACAATGAGAAGGGCTGAACAGCACTATTACTGAAGCAGGTGTGGTCTCTGAATACACAAATACTACATGCAGTGGGTCAAAGGTCTCTCCTTAGTCAAGAGAGCCACATTCGTTCAGCATTCTAAACACGTGATTTTTAATAAAAGCAAATGGATGCACGATAATACGGTGAGTGGGACTCTGACACTCAGAGAGATGGCCTATCAGATTTTATACCGCAGGAGAAAACAGAGTCACAAGACTAGTCTTACTTTCGCTCTGACTGTGGAGAGAGCTTTTCTGCCTAAATATATCAGTTGAGATGTAGAAAAGAAATGTACTATGCCTTAAAAAACGTCACAGCTTATTACGGGTGTGCCAAGTGTTTCTAAAATGCCTTCCATTTTTAAAAATAAAATCTTCCTCTACAATATCTTTTCAACCTATGTGACTAACCTTACGTGGCTCCAGACCTCTCTAGAACTTATAGATGAGGTTATCAGAGATAAACAGACTTTCTTTTTCATTTACACTGTAAAGAATCCCACGAGGTACTTTAACTTAGACTCTTTATGCTCAACAGTGTAAGAATGTATCAATGTCAGTGAGGACAGAGCCACAGCCATAACAAAACTTCCTCAAATTACGGTATTTGGGCCCTTCTCGGTGTCCAGGTATCCTGGCAGAGCCGCAAAGCTGGGAAGGAAGGAATATACAATGTTATACCGTTCCAGAGAAGCATGGTTCTGATTGCTAAATACTACAATCACCCATTTACTTATTGATTTTTGAGATTCGAAGGGAGAGACTTCTTCGAAAACCTTGTGAAGAAGACAAATCTCTTAAGAGCTTGATAAACCCGAGGAGGTTTACCAGTTTTTGAAAACAGTGACATTACTTCAGTTCAGAAGATAACAGCATTCTCTTCCTAATAGAACTCCCTTCAGTGGGGCTAGAGTTAATATTTACAAAAGTTAGACAAGTAGCTGACATCTATATCCTGCCTTAATCATTCAGAGAAACATTAAAAAAAAAAAAAAATACACAAAGACAGCCTCCATAGGCACGGGCAATGCTTTGGCAGGGGTCACCATAGAAATCTGAGATATACACAGAAATCATATCCAGATAACTGAATCTCGATTCTTTTAAGTCCTTTTAACACGTTATTGTTTTAATGGCTGCCAATGGAGATCTCCTTTTTCACCTGAAAATGAAAGTGGGAAACTCTATTTCTTGTTCGTTTTGGGCTCATGAAGGCACAGCATCACTGCAATTTGTTTTAATAAAAGCGATGGCTGGTGGGGGTTCTAACGTGTGTTTCTACATTAAATGCCATCAGGGGCTGTGCCGTGTATGCTTTTTATAGCTTTCTTCCCTCCTCCTTCATTGCTAGGAAGCTTCAGTGGACCTACATCCAGCAGCTTTCTCCCTTCTTTACAAAAGTATCTCTTAGTCTGCTGCATGATGGGAAAACGGACAGCCAAAGTTGTCTAAAATAGATCTAAAATAAAAGTGAACTATAAATGCATGGGCTTTGTGGCCTCTACGTTGGTACTGGGGGAATTTCTTTTCTTTCCGTCCTTACTCTTCATCATATGATATTCCAGATTTGGAGACTGAGGCATTTCTGTATCTAGTTCATGCCTATAATGCTACAAAGACGATATCATAAAGGAAAACACACACTCTACGAACACGGACGTAAAGTGTTCGAATGGCTTTCATCAAATTAGTTACTTTGAGAGTCTTGGTACTCATTCCAAATATTTTGGACTCCCATTCTGGCACGGCCCTCAAGGTTAATTCATAAGAGACACCTTTCAATCACAGCCCATTTTGACCTAGGCTCAGTCACCTACTTTATTCACCAGACTGGGAGGTGCATGACTTTTAGGTGTATCTAAGAAAAATCAAAGGGCCCCTCCGAGCTTAAAGATTTGCCACCAGTGAAAAGTTTCACTAACGAAGGCAGTCCAAGTGACACAGATTCAAAAGGCATTTCGAGCAAAGGCAGCCATCACTGCCTGAGGTGACTGTTTCTGAAAAGCAATTCTAGAATACTCCTTGGGATAAATCAGGGCACATAGGTTAAAGAAAATAAACTTCTAGTTACATTTTGAAAAATATAAGTTCATTCCCATTGCCTAAATGGAGATGAATATTCTTTTTGGACACAAAGCAACTCGTTGGCTTTGAAGCCTCTGAGGAGGTCTGCACGGCCTCCGTGGGCTTTAGATTAAGAATTTCCTATGGCAGCTGTCCGAAGAAAATGGAGACCCGAGGCGTGACGATTTGCTACACGTTATTCTTATCCCTAGATGGGAGAGTTCTGAGCAGAACTCCCGTCCCCCAGCGAAATACCTCAGTTTCATCTTTTGAGTGTTCAGACCCTCGACTATTTTGGAGTAAGATGTGATGTCCCCACCGAAGTTATTCTCAAAAGCAAAGCATATC